AACTTAATTTCGGAACAGATTAGATTCGTTGTGAAAATCACAGATCATAATAATACAAACTCCAAGAGCAATTTAAAATTGGTGTTAATTTAATTTAATTTAATCGGTTTGGTAATCGCTTCTTAAACACAAATCGAGATGGAACGTGGAGACGTAAATTTTGTGGCCGTCAATTGCGTTTACTAATCGACAAAACTGCCACCCCTTCCTTTGACTAATGCCCCGCTCCCTGCATTATATTATTAACACTAGTTATTACTTTACAATTTCAACACTTAATCCACTAATTGTTTATTTATTATTACTACTTTATTCTTTATCCCATACAACATCCTTCAACCAAGATTTTTAATTTATCAAACATACAACTTTATAATAATAATAATAATAATAATAATACCAAAATTCTATTATTATCATCTTCATCTATTTTTATATGGGATAATTCATATTTGTTTTATATTTTATGTCAAAATATTGAACATTTTTTTGGGATTAAATTGAAAAGTAGCACGTTTAATTTTTTCTCTCACTTTAGGGATGAAAATACCCCTACGTAAAAATAAACCCTAACCTCTTCCTCCATCTTTTTAACTCTATTCACTTGTTCTCAGATTTAAGGTGTGTAATTTGTTTGTTCTCTGTTCGCTTTTTTATCAAAGGGTAAAGTTGGTCGAATCTGGCTGATATGTGGGTTTTGACCAAAACTCGTCTTTAACCTCTAATCATTTTTTTGTTCAAATCCTCTGAAGTTGATTGATACCTATATCATTTAAAAATAACTTATATGCAACATACTCAAAATTTTATATTTTAAACACAAAAACTTACCTCTTTGCTCTTCTGAACCGTTTAATAAGTCAATACATCAAAAAATCTATTAAAGATAGTATTTTTCATCATCACAAAATCAAGTCTTCATGATCTTAAAATAAAACCATGTATTTTGATTTAATGATTAGGGATTTGTTATTAAGGGTAATTTCGAATATGGATATTATGAATAATAATAATAATTATTATTATTAATATAGTATATTTTATTCAAGTACTTAAGTACGACGTCGTCTTCCCACTTCTTGCCCTTGTGGGGAGATTACAAACACCAACTTTCTCGGTCAACACACATAACGAAAAACAATCTACGGCTTACTTACTGGCTAATAATATTAACTTAAGCCGGCTCTTTATATTAGCTGAAGTCGAGCCAAGCGAAATATGGGCTTTGATATTTATTTTTGTGAGAGAATGCTAGAAGGGCACATGGTAGCATGCATGTCCGAACTATCATCCTTAGGTGGAGCCCACGTGTGAGAGCTCTACGGTCTCTAAGTCAACAAATATTTGTTGGATTTGTGGTTGTGGAACTTTAAACAAGACATCAAGTTGATGATGATGATGGTGACTGACGGTTGTGATTTCATCTCGTGTAGGTGATATATTGTGGGTGAAAAAGTATCATTCCTTTTTGACGAAGTAGTTACGTAAGCCATTGCACGGATTCTACGTCCAACGAAATAAGGGGAGATGTTTGGTAAGAAAGATACAACTAATTTTTTAAAATTATGGATAATCAAAATATACATAATAATTGCATGAAATTATTGAACAAAAAAGTTATAATATATAGTATAATTAGTACTTGTTGTGGGTGATTTTTTTACCAAACTAAAATAAATGCGAGGATATAGCTCGACCCAGAATGAGTCCGACAACGACGATTGATTGACCCAGCGTAAGCTCGTTGAACTATAGCTTGACCTAACATAAGCTAGTCGCAAACAATGCGAACAATCATTCAATCAATCCCCAGATTACTTCAGATCTCAAGTATTGTGAGAATAATCAGATCAATAATGATCACTGTGTAATCACAATGCTAAATCGCGAGAATATCAGAATTACGATTCAAATCAATTATAATCCTTTTAATTTCGCTATTTCTTTTATACAAATCTTGTATATAAACTAATGTTTTAAAACCCGGCCCGGCCCGGCCGGTTGAACCGGGACCTAGAAGCTTCAATGGGCCGGGTTTAATTTTTTCCTATTCATCCAATACCCTAGGATTTCCGGTGACGATCAGCAAACAATTAACTGTCGGGATGTTGGGGCTTTTGAAGAGCAATTTCTAGTGAATGTAATGGTGGTGAAAGAGTTGATTTCCGGTGAGTAAATTGATCAAAAATCGAACAAAATTGGCAGCGGCAACGATGAGATTTTTTCGGCGATTGACAAGGCTAACGGCGGTGGGGTGAGGTGGGTTTTGGTCGAAAGGAAAAGGGGAGTAATTCTGGGGTGATGGGGAGGGTTGTTGTTGCCGGAATCGATGGGATCTGGCCTGGAATGTCGACGTCGACGTTGGTGAGATCTGGCCGAAATCGAACCTATTTCGGCTAGATCTTGGGTATATTTTGATGGAAATGGACTCAATGGACGATTGGGGTTGCATCTGGGGTGTCGCCGCCTTTAATAAGTCGCCGGTTGATTTATAGTTGGGTTGTGTTTGATAAATTTCAAACCTATAGGGACTTCACTATGATTTTTAGAGGTATATTTGCTTAATTTTAAAAGTTTTTGTCAACCGGTCAACCCGGGACCCGAAAGCTTTGCCGGGTTTCACCCCGGGTTGGGTTTTAAAACATTGATATAAACCCCCTTAAACGATGATGAGGGGTTACAAATTTTTTATTGAAACTACATTGTAAGCTCTCACAGCAAATACAGACATAGTGAACGTATGCTATTAATCTTGCCGAACCACTTTAAAAATTATTTTTTGTCTTTACTTTACTGCACTCATAAACATTCATTGCTGATTATAATTAATCACGCACAAGCCGATTTCGATCCCGATAAGGTCGATCGGATTTCACTGGTTGGTGCAAAATTCTATATCAACATTACTTAAATAATTTTTTAAAGATTGACCTATATATATTATAATTAGTAGTAAGATATAAATAGAGCATTTAACCATAAATGAAGTTCTATTAGTGGTAATTAAACAGGTAGGTCTTAGTTTAATTCTAAATAAATGTGAAGGCATTTTGTTCATGTGATTTCTTGTCAAGTGGAATGCTCAAAAAAGCAAAAGCTGCAAGCAGGGTAACGGGAATTGAGCTACTACTCGTGATGTAATTTAATAGATTCTACTTCAGATATTTCAAGTTTTATGAGCATGGAGATTTTATCATATAAAATACAAAAATCACGTGATTTCAAACGTGGTCTGGGATTTTTCAGATAAAGCTTCTTGATATGAGCTGTATTTAAAGATGGGAGAACCACATTTTCCCACCCAAGGTTTCGCGGAACTACAGTTTTTCACCCGTCATTTTTTAAAATGACACTTTCCCACCCTTTGTCAAGTTCTATTAATATTTAATTGAAAAGACAAAAATACCCTTAAATAGTTTATTTTCTTTATAAGTTTATTATAAATTAAAATTTAGTTAAATCAAAGTCTTTACCCGATTATTTATTAGTTCAACTATAAATATATCTTTTTTCATTTGTATATTTAATTAATTAAGAATATTGATTTCTATGTTAATTAGTAAAAATAAAAAACATTATAAATTTAGTAGATTATTGAAGAATAATGATAAGATATTGATGATATTATAAATAAATATTAAGGCCATTTAATTTTAATATTACTCTTAACTTTGTAGGTGTGATTAACTATTTTTTATTTTTTGACTTTTTGGCTAATTAAAAAATTATAAAAAATTTATAAAATCAAATGTTTAAGGGTATTTTTATTTTTTCAGTAAAATACATAACAGAATCTAACGAAGGATGGGAAAGTGCTGTTTTGTCAAACCTTGAATGGGAAAATGTCATTCTCCCTATTAAGATTGAGATGAAATTGATATATACAGTACTAATTTGTGGTGTTGGAAAACACTTTCGATAGTGATTTCATAGTGCTGAAAACACTTTCCATGTTTCATCAAAAGTGTTTTGTAACAATCAAATGGATTGATAATGTTCTTCGTTTTTCATTGATCACATGATTCTTACGTCAAATACAAACTGGGTAAATTTTTTACCAAACTTTTCTGCCCATGATATCTGGAGCTGAAAATGTTACCATCAACCTTGCAACTTTCATGTGTTTACCTCTTTTTTCTTGGCTTAAAAAAATGGAACTTTCAGTTTGAGCACACAAATCAAACAATATATATGTCATATTCATAATCATTTTTTGTCACATTAAAATAAAGACAGTTCCCGAAGTTTCTAGGTTAGTGATGACCGATGATGGAATATTTATGTTTATCCTGTAAACTAGGTAAGAGGGGCCATGCAATTGCAAACCACACCCACAGCCTTGAAAAACAAATTTCAATATAATATTGTTAGATTCTAATAAGGATATCAAAATAAAGTTCAATATAATAAATTTCCAACTTGTGAATTGTGGGGACGTAAACACACCCACAGCTGTGTTTGTGTCTTCATTAATAATATGCATGCTTCTTCTTCCAACAGTTGTTGGAAAAAATCAACTTTGGAAAAGCATGATCAACTAGAAAACAATTTTAAGTAGACTGAAAACCAAAAAACAAAAGTGTTTTGATTTCAGAAGAAAGGTTCGGATATGAATGGTAAGCCAGCTCCAAAAAAAGCCAAGCCAACTTGATTACTTGATGTTGAAGCATCGAAAGTTGGATAATCTAGAATCCAACGGTTGAGAATGGATAACAACTTTGCGCAGGCTTATCTTCTCTGACTTGACTCTGTACAGTGCAGAGAAAGAGAAAGAGAAACTATGTACAGTTCATATAAAACGTGAAGATTGAAAGCGGGACCAGCCCGCCATTAATACAATTCTCCCCATCTTCCTTTGTAACTTTCAAATAAATTTTAAAAGAAAAAATTAAAAAACTTCTCTCTCTATTTGGGTTGTGATTTGTGGCTTGGCTTTTTTTGCTACTTATAATCAAAACCCAAGCTTGAGTTGTGGCTTCTAATTCATCTTGAGGCAGGTCAACTCTCTCTCTTTCTTATCTCTCTACCCAAAGCTGAAAGCTTCTCTTCTTTCAGCTTTTCTACAACCAGACAAACACTAAAACAAAACCACTTCTTTTATCAGTCTCTTCACTGTCTACTTGATTCAAAGAAGAAAACTAAAAAGGGTGAGGTGGGTTCTGGATTTCTTTATTTTATTTTTATTTTTCAAATTTCTAGTTGTAACAGAAACTTTAAAGTTGGAGTCAAAAAGAACTTGATTCAGGCGGTTTGTTATTATAAGAAAATACCTTACTTTAGTTGCATGAAGAGAGAAAGTAAAAGGCTGTTGATTTCACACTTAGATCTGCTTTGTTTTCTCTGTTGATATATACAGCTCATTTCAAGCTTCAATTTTGTGATCTACTGGAAGAAATTTAAAGACCAGGCTGTTTGCTGGTTTTCATTGATTTGATTTCATGGGGATTTGCTTGAGTGCTCAAATTAAAGCCGAGAGTCCATGCAATACAGGTACTTCAATTTTATAGCTTTTTTTTTTTTTTTTTTTTGGTTGGTGGATACTGGTTTTTTGTTTAAGGCACTTGATCGTGAGATATAATATGGAAAGTTTGGACTCTGATTTTAATCGTTTTAGCTTGTTCGATTGATAGTTATATCATCTGTTTGTTAATTGTTGTATTCTTCTCGCTGGATAGGTGAAGTTTGTTGAGAACATTAGGCTCATTTGTAGCCTGAATTAGAGTTTAATAAAATTGGACGAGCGTGGGCGTGATCCTGACGGTTTTTTTTTTTTTTTTTTTTTTATTTCGCCATGCTCTATTGGGTCGCTGCTATGTTGTACTAAATGGGAAGAAACTTGAAATCTTTTTGGCCACGAAATAACCAGTTTAAGTTTTTTTTTTCTTAATCATCTGAGCGTGTTTAGTTTCAGTTTATTGTTTTATTAGAACTAATTGGCAAACGTATGAAACTTCACTGGGTTACCTTTAAAGCTATGAATGCTGAGTTCTTTGGATCGATATTCAGCCTTAGTTTGCATCTGGATGTTATATTACTCCAGAATTTCTGAACTTATTGGTTGATGTTACCGTGTTGTGTTGGTTCATATGTCTCTGGGATGTGCAAATCTTTGCATGAAACGTAAACGTGAAGGATTGGATTTGAGGAGTTTGATCTGTAGTAAATTGGTGATAATGTGTTTAAATAGGGATTATATATTTGCATGTGCAGGGCTGAGTTCAAAGTATGTTAGCACAGATGGGAATGATGTGAGCAGTTCGAGTAGTAAGGTCTCGTCATATTCGGTTCCTCTGACTCCTCGGAGTGAAGGTGACATCTTGCAGTCCCCCAACTTAAAGAGTTTCAGTTTTGGGGATCTCAAGATGTCCACCAGGAACTTCCGTCCGGACAGTGTGTTAGGAGAAGGTGGTTTTGGTTCGGTTTTTAAAGGGTGGATTGATGAGCATTCATTTGCTGCTACCAAACCTGGGACTGGTATGGTTATTGCTGTGAAAAGGCTTAACCAAGAAGGTTTCCAAGGTCACAAGGAGTGGCTGGTGAGTTCATTCTCTACTTCTTTGTGAGACTCTTGAAATATACAGAACTGAATGGGTGTCATACTTTCTGTACTTTTGAATGGAGAACTTTTCAAGTCTGGCTAGAGGCCAGTATATCAGTGTTTTTCGAATGTCTGCAAATTGATTCTAGGACTGAACTTGCTTACTTCAGATGTCTTTCAGGCAAACTTGACATGTATTTTTTACTACTTTGGCCTTTGTCCACTTCATCAAGTTTTAACGATTTTTGCTGTCTTGGGTGCACAGATTCACTTGTCTTCTTGTTTCTCTGATCCTATAGGCGGAAGTAAACTATCTGGGACAGCTTTATCACCCACATCTTGTGAAATTGATTGGATATTGCTTGGAGGATGAACACAGACTTTTGGTGTACGAGTTCATGCCTCGAGGCAGCTTGGAGAATCATTTGTTTAGGAGTGAGTTTTCTGTTGTTGCTTTGCACCATTGAAGCATAATGCTTTCTATTAATATTTGTGATTTGACTGATTTAGATTGTTGTTGTACCAGGGGGTTCTTATTTTCAACCTCTTTCTTGGGACCTCCGGGTGAAGGTTGCTCTAGGTGCTGCTAAGGGGCTTGCCTTTCTTCACAGTGCTGAAACAAAAGTTATATATCGGGATTTCAAGACTTCTAACATCCTGCTTGATTCTGTATGTACTACATAACTTGGTTTAAAGCATATCTTCTCGACAGTCAATAATATTATTTAATTTCTGTGATAAATTCAGGGTCTGTTTTATACTCTCTCTTTTAATATCCCTATTTTTAATACATTGATTAAACAGAACTACAATGCAAAGCTTTCTGATTTTGGGTTGGCCAAGGATGGGCCAACAGGTGATAAGAGCCATGTCTCTACCAGAGTTATGGGAACATATGGATATGCAGCTCCAGAATACCTGGCAACAGGTATTTATTTTGTTTGTATTATTGAGTGCTTAATTGCTGCTTTTACTGGCTAGCTTCTTGCCAGCTGTTATAGACATCTAATGTCTGAAGCCTTGCTTGGTTACTTCCTATATACAAGTGTTTGTTTAACAGTCCTCTGATACTGGTACGTTTTCTCATTGATTGTAGGTCATCTAACTGCGAAGAGTGACGTCTACAGTTTTGGAGTTGTTCTGCTAGAGATCATATCTGGCCGCAGAGCAGTTGACAAGAATAGACCATCTGGGGAGCACAATCTAGTGGAATGGGCTAAACCTTACCTAGCCAATAAGCGTAAAATTTTTCGGGTCATTGATAATCGACTTGAAGGCCAGTATACAATGGACGGAGCCTTTAAGGCAGCTACCCTTACATTACGATGCATATCTACAGAAGCAAAGTTTAGGCCTAGCATGGATGATGTTGTTACCATATTGGAGCAGCTCCAGGATTCCAAGGAAACTGGAAATACTAACAGCAATCCAAGCAATAGGCCAAAGGTTCGTAGACTAAGTGCTGATGATGCTATTAAAAGAAGCAGACCAAGTGCTGATGATGCTACTAAAAGAAGCATAACTGCTTATCCTCGGCCCTCAGCATCACCTCTTTACGCTTAATCTTGGAAGCAAAGGACTTGGTGGAAGTACTTTTCCTTTCTCCAGGTTGTCGTCAACAAGCTGAAGAACTGGACACTTTTGTCTGTCCTGTGACTGTACATTCTTGTTTTGGCAAATGTTTTAAAAAATCAGATCTTCTGTTGACGTGATTTAAAGGGTTGGCATGTAACACAAGGAATTACCCAAATATTGTATGTTGTATGTCTTTTTGGCATTCAGCAAAGTGTTTGTACCACTTGAAAACGGCTTGGAAGGAAAGGAATGTAAGTGCTCTGTATGACTTATAGTTAGAAAGTTATAATAGCTTTTTCAATCTGTGGTGTATTTACATTCTATTATTTTATTTTTTAGAATGCACCTTAGCAGCAGTTAAAGCACATATCACTTCGTTGTAATACAGCTCTCTTTGTTCAATCAAATTTTGCATCTGATTTTGTTAATCCTGATAACTGACAATTAATATCCGAAGGGACAGAAGAAGATGGCCAAAAAGGCCAGAAAAGTGAATGTGAACAGAAGACTTCTAGATAGATGGTGCATACAATGTAATGCCAGTAGGTTGGAGTGGATGAAGAAATGATGGGCACACGTGGATACATGTTTACAATGGTTTTAGACTTTTAGTCCATGAAGCTTTTGAGATTTCCGCCACAAAGTTGAAACTTTTTAGCTCTTCTGTAGATGGGTCAGCAGCACCAAAGCTAAAGCTAATGGTTCATCAAAGGAGACCCCGCTTTCATAGAGGCTTGAAACTGCAACGGTGGTGTTGGACCTGTCGGTGGATCAATTATTTGATTGAATGCAAGTGCTAGCAGAGTTTGCAAAAAGCCAAAAAGTGTAACAAGTGGCCTTCTTTTCCATGTTTAAACTTTAATGTAATGGGTGACATGGGTTTCTTGAGCAGTTCACCAATTGGTATGCACAACAGCACAAGAGGATGGGTTGATTCAATTTCTTGTTTCACATAATCAAGCAATTAGATAGGAAAATTACTATCCTTTCTTTGTTATTGCAGTACAGGAAAGAAACATACTACAATGTCCTAGTGGTTTGCTGGTGTCTCATCAAATAATAAATTAATGAAGTAGAAATATTTTGGACAAGGGCTGGCCGCCATTTAGGAAATCCAAGGAGGTCAATTATTTGAAACATTTGCCAGGTTAATTCCATTTAGGGTGGCTTATAAATTCAGCAGATTGAGCAAGTTTCATAATTAATTAACTAAGCATGCTGCTAACTAATTCATAAACATGTTTTGGTTGACCCTTTCCCATAACCCAGTCTCCTAAACCTTGATTGTCCTAAATCTTTTCACTGGCATCCATTTCTCATGTGGGGGCCGATGCCATGGATGGTTATAGGGAAGAGGGAACAGTTCAACAACCGGGCTGGTGGCCTGACCTGTTCAAAATCAAGGATTCAACTTGGTAGGGTTTGTTTAAGTTGAAAGCAACAGCCCAACTAAATCCTGCTTTAAGTGGTCGTTTTCTCCTCTCTCCAACTCAACTCAATTATACAAAATCATAACCTTGGAAGAGACTGGTACTGGTTTCCATTTCTTAAACAAAAATGGCAAGATATGAACTAGTCCTTTCCGGAATTCATAGAGTACACCATCCCAGTAAACAAGTAAAGCTAAGGGATCGAGAAGCACCATGGGTAGGGAACAATATATATCATATATTGACAGCAGCATTCATGCCACAAATAGGGCAAAATTACATATTAAGAGAAGAAACATGACCTTATGCTTTACAATCTGTACTAAGAAGAAGCATGCATAACAATGCGACTTCCCTCATGACCTATATCCACAACTACCTCGAAAACAAAAAAGAATTGGGGAGTGAAAGAAATAACCTCCAACCATTCAAGCAATAACGTGTATCTCTATATTCATTTCCCCAAATATGCCAATAGAAATGCAATTATCTGGCATTTTGAAGGAGATGTAAGGCATCTGGATCTCTTGACTACCACAAACTGATAGCATATCATCACCAAGTTCTTACCAACCCAGGCGTCCAATTTCTCCAATCCAACTTCCCAATTGATCTGTTTCTTAAATTGACCATTTCTCTGATATCAAAAACTTTCTTCAGATAATTGCTTCCTTGCTTGGTAGACTCGGGCTCAGTCTCTGGTTCTGTTTCCTCCTTCACATCTTCAGTTTCACTGACAGGTCGAGGGGCCTCTTCGTCTTGAGATGATGTCTCAGAGATAATGTTTCCCAGTATCTCAACCACCTCACTCATTTTAGGGCGGGATTTAGGATGCTTCATGAGGCATTTGTTTGCTAGGGAAGCAAGTCTTTGAGCAGATTTGATGCAGTATTGCTCTTCAAGACGTGAGTCTACAATAAGGTGGAATTTCTTAGAGTCCGACACATAAGGTTTCACCCAATCCAAAAGCTTCTGCTCAGTCCGAGGTAGATTTCTCTCCACAGCTCGCCTTCCAGTGATTAGTTCATAGAGAACAACCCCAAAGCTCCAAACATCACTTTTAGCTGTCAGCCGGCCAGTCTGAACATACTCTGGAGCAGCATAACCTACTGTGCCAACAACCTATCAATCATAAAAAGATAATCCATTAGTAATGTATTCTGCAAATTAGCAGGATCAGCATGCATCTCAAAAGTTGCAAACTTGCAATCCATTATTTAGTGAATCCAATAAGCATCATCCATCACTTTATTCAGATATCTTCAATCAAACTTTAATCAGAAAGTTTCTGATGTTAGAACTGGAATGATTAGTGCCGTTAGAATCAGTAAATTCTCCTAAGTAAAAACCGTTTCATTAGCATTTGAACATCTTAAGAAGGGGCAAAATTCCCAAATCCACTATGAGAAGATAAATAACTTACTGAGGTTGAAACATGGCCTAGTCCTTCAGGAGGTCCCTGCCTAGCCAGTCCAAAATCTGAGAGCTTTGCATTATAGTCCTCATCTAGCAGAACATTTGATGTTTTAAAGTCTCGAAATATTAGCTGCAAAAATGTAAAGCAGATCAAAATCATGCAAACCAAACTTAGGAAATAACTTTGGAGGCCTGTGTTATGGATAAAATCTGCATGCTAATCAAGTAATCTGTAAGAATGCAAACATATAGGTTCCAAAATTCACATTTATTAAGAAATTATAAATTAACATAGAACCCCTGCCCTGCAATCTTCATTTACCACAATTTCAGGACTCGGAGGCACAAAAGAATACAGTACCTGAAAATCCATTTCTTCGTGCAGGTATGCCAATCCACGAGCTGCATCTTGGGCGATCTTTAATCTTGCCATCCATGGAAGAGGTGTTGGAACCCGGGCCAATAGATGATCCTCCAAGCTCTTATTACGCATAAGCTCATATACCAACAACCGTTGCATCCCTCGTTCATCATCTTCCGCACAATATCCCACTAACTTGACAAGATTCGGATGATTGACCACACCCAAAAAATTCACCTCATTGATCCATTCTTTATGCCCCTGAATAGTAGAATGCCAAACAGAGACATTCCCATGAGACAACCTCAAACACTAGATTCACTTTGCATCTTCATTTTCCAAAAGCTTGGAGAGACCCAACATAAATATGATTAAAACTAATTAGAGAAATAAGTTCACATTGCAAATAAATCATCTAGGAATTGAGATAACAACTGTATTTAACTTTACAAAGCAAGAAGTGCAGATTTCAAAAACGTGGCAGACAACAATGGACCCAACCATTACAAAATTGAAAAAATGATTAACGTAGCCGAGTCCCACAAAATTTGGCATGACAAAATTTACATTAAACATTCACATTACTTAATTCAACGACATATTAACTAACAATTATAACTTTATAAGCCAAAAAATAATATACAAACGAAGGAAGTGAAAAAATTAGAAAGAGTTCGTGCCTGGAAACCGTGACGATTCAACTGTTTAATAGCAACATCCAACTTTGAATCAGCACCGTTAATTTCTTGATGATCAGAAACCCTAACAACACCTCTATACACACAACCAAACCCTCCTTCTCCAATCAACAAGGCTCTGCTGAAGCCTCTGGTAGCAGATTTCAGTTCAGCAAAAGAGAAGACTTTGAGATCATTGGCTCTACGCTGAGTCAGCATCTCGTAAAACCCAACCGAGTCAGACCAGTCTCTGGTGGAGTCGGAATCGAACTCGGACCGTCTGGTGTCGACGCTACTAGATGCTACACTGAATGACCGGGCCCATGATACTTTGGAAGCCCTTGAAACAACGACGTCTTCGTCGTTCCGTCGCTCCCCGTTTGTGAAATGAAAACACTTCATTTTTGGAAAACAAAAGAAACGAATAGAAATGCTGAGTTTTGGACAGAAAGAAGAGATTAATAGAAGGATGGGTCAAACGGATGCTCTCTGGTTTGGTGGTGAGTAATAAGTAGATAAAAATTAAAAAAAAAAAAAATTGGGTAAGTGTTATTTTATGCTGTAAGAAAAGAGCAAAAAACAAAGCAAGCGGACGATGATTTGGTTGGGTTGTTGTCGTTTTGTAAGAAAGAAAAAAGGAGATCACGAGGGCGGATTCAGAAAGGGAGGTGGCGTTATATACAAATATCAGATGCAGTGTACGTTTCAGACAGTGGAGCTTCCATTATTCAAATTCAACTTTTTCTTAAGAAATTCTATTAATTTAGGCTTTGGCTTTTACCATGTTCATATTATATTTTTTTAAATTCAAATTGAGTTATGAAATATTCTTGTTAGGCTCCAAATTAGACTTTAAGGCAGGAGAGTGGTCAAATAATTAAGCCATGTTATTCATGGTCAGCAAGCTCTGCGTTTATAATATTATCTATTATTTAATATAACTTAATAAACCCCCTGAATCTTGCACTTTTAGTTTTAGAGGTTGCTTTTGTTATTTTTAAAATGATAAAGGGCTCTTATAATATCATTGTTTCAAGAAAGAACGTTGATCAAAATGGTCGCATTCTTTTCTCGAGTATTTTCATTCAATGGCACTTCCTGTTTACCAACGTAAATGGGAGCCAGAGGTCTGGGTGGGTTAGACCAAGCCAAGTATTAAAGGTTTGTTAAGTTACGACCCTGTAAAAGTTCAGGTAAATTTAATTATTATTATTATTATTATTATGGAGGCTGCTTGTGATTTACACTGATTAGCTAACCTAGCTAATATATAATTAATTTCACTAAACACAATTAATTACAAATCATAACATAACAGGGAAAGCCATCACCAGTCACCACAACCACAAGCAACAATTATCGAGAGGTTGTTGTTACATCAATGGAATAACGTATATTTTTTAACCTGACCATACATTGAATCGTGTAATTTCTATTACCTCCTTAACAAGCAACTCCATGCATTGGTTCACCTCATGAAATCTTCTGCTTCCTCAACCCAATGAATCAGAGATTTAGATAATTAAATAAGAAGAAAATTCTCATAATCTCAAACGTAGTGGATGGTTGATATATATATACACGAACCTTAAAGTGACAAACCGATGATCGATTAATTGTGTTCTAAGCAATACAAAGAGAATCCCGAAATAGAAAGCTTATGGTGTATCAAATTTTGCTGTAGAATTGGTTTAATTTGAATCCCATATATCGGATATTTGTCGAGTACAGTATCCCGATGTAATTGTGTTTGTGTTTTGATGAAGTTATTACAGATAAGAGTGATTTCTACGGTTTGTGGAGTGGATTTTTTATTGGTGGGACTGAGTCTCGATAATTACTTTTAAACAGCTACGCATGCGCCAATATACGTATAATTACCACTTGACTTGAGTCATGGCCATGGGGCAGTAATTAAGAAGCTTCATTTCAGATCAGGTTTTGAGAATGTGCCTTCAAACAGTTTTACTTTCTGTAAAGACGTAAAACATATGCTTCTTTTTTAAGATAAAAGAAAATTGTGTTGTTGGATACACAGTTGAAACTTGATGATATTGTTTGAATTCAATCTCGACCCTTTCACATTCCTCTCTTCTTCCACACTACAAGTCTACTAACCAACTCTCTAATTCAATTTTTAGTCTGTGTTTTTCGTCATCCTACTTCCTACAAATATTAGAAACGTTCAATGTTTGAGGTAATCAAATTCAATCTCGACTTAATTATTAGTTGAATTTTTAATATTAACTATTGATTTATTGATTTATATCCATTTAATCTGTTGAATTTAATATAACTTCAAAGAAAAGATATATATATCCAGCACGAAATTAATTATCAACTGATGTACACTTTTAAGTCTAAAGTTTGAATGATTGCATATCATCTTGCTCAGGTTTTATTTCTGTAAAGAATATGCATTTTTAAGGAATAATGTTTTACGAGCACAGACTAATTCTATATCTCATATTTCATGTAACGTCTAGGATTGCTTAGAAAAAAATTTAACTGTAAGTTAAAAGAAAATTTTATGGGTTCGTCCCTTGAAAATACCAACTGCTAAATGAAGCTAGCTCCAACTGTTGAAAATGAAGGCAGTTCTTCAGTACTCATCTCCAATGTCGCTGTCCTCAGTGGGATACATTTCAATGGCAGTGAGAAGTTAGCCGGATATATCTGTATCACCTAATATATATATATATATATATATATATATATATATATATTATATATATATATAATATAAAAAAACCACGTCGTCTATCTATCAAGAAGTAAGTTGAACTAAATTAATGCAACAGTTGACTTTGGTTATAAAATTTGATGTTTAATTGACCAAGTGAATTTGTTTCACATGTAAAGATTAACAATCCCCTGAACCACTAATTTTTATTTTTATAACCTTTTTTTTAATTAGTTAAATCTCGAAGTTGATCTGCTACTACGTCATCCACGCTATATTGTATATGATACGAAGAATGACACCCAATCCCCTTTCTTTTTTTTTTTTTTTATTTTATATCGAAGTTTGTTTGCATGTATTTCAATTAATTTTTAAGTTTTAAATTATCAATTACATGAGTCTTATAATTATCTCTATTAGTACTTAAAGGGTTAGTCAATAAAGTGAGTCCATAGTCATCTCCATTAACCCTAGGAGTGTCTAGCTAGCTTCTACCTTAACTAATTATTAGGTCTTGGAATTATTTGACCACATAAGAACCTCATAGTATCTCTTATTAGCTAATGCTAAGAGGGTCAATCAGGAAGAGTCTTAGTAGTCATCTCATTATGTCTGAGAGACTTAAACTCTGAACTCATAAACTTCGTTTACTTTTTTATATCATACCACTCAATAGTGGTTATCCATTTTAGTTTCATATAATCTTGCAATAAAGTACCCAACTGATTGCATCTGTTATTATATTATATATATATATATATATATATAATATATATATATATATAGGAGAGAGAGAGAGAGAGATGAGACTACTCTTAGAATAAGAAATTAAGAGGCGATAACAATATTTTTGCTTGGAAAGAGAGAAATCTGGAAAAGAATAGAAGAATTGAAGAAGAGGAGAAAGTGATGAGGTCCTATTTTAATTTTGGTATAAGTCCAAGATAGAGAAATAAGTTTGAGGGTTTTTTTTATTTTAGTCTATATATATAAATCAAGTAATTAAATCTTTTACAAATACTTGATGGGTGTTTAATTTTTTTTTTAAATACTATTTTATGATACTAAATAATATGATATTATTTCAGAAGAGTTAACATATTATAGAGGATAAACTTTATGAACTTGGAGTCATATATATCCTAATTAATAATTAATTGTCATAAATAAAACCACTCATATATATCATAATGCATGTAGTACGGGTTACTTAGGGTCCTTTTGGTTTGCTATTTTGGATAGGATTTTGGAAATAATATTGGATAGTTGAATATGGTGATTATTAAGAGGTAAAATTTAAAATTTAACAAAAAAAAACCCCTAGGTTTGCTAATTTAACTAAACACCCTAATATATAAAAATTTTGTAAAATGACAAAAACACCCCCACCCACCCACAGTGCCAGATTCCGGCCACCACCGCCGGAATCTGGCATTATGACGTAGACCGGTCAGACCTGGCTGAACGTGCGTTGATCTGGCCGTCAGCGATGACAAAGATATGGCCGTCGTTGTTAGTCAACGACGACAATTTCTTTGGCGGTCACTAACGACCAGATCTGACCTTTTCCGGTCAGATCCACTGTGGAAAATGTCAGATCGGTGAATTACCGGCCAATTCCGGTTGTTTGTAGACCATTGTGATAGATTTCGACTACCATCGACGGTGGATATATATATATCCTTTGGGAAAATATATATATATATATAAAACGTTAATATTCATTATTTTGCCAGCTCTGGAAATTGATCAAATAGAGAGGGAGTCATAGTTATAGTCATAGATGGGAACCCAGGAAAAACAGTAAGAAAACAAAAAGGCGGAGGGGATAATGTTTATAAGCATGGTGATGAGGGTCAAGGTTGACTGATTGTGGTGGTAGTGGGTCTCTAATTTTGTTTACAACGTTATAGCCTCTCTTTCTCTCTCTCTCTCTCTCTTTCTGACAATTGATATCAGCTGAGCAGCTTGTTATGTCTAATCGCCAAACTGTGATCTGTTCTCCATCACTTTATCTCTGAGTTCGTACACATTTCTTTCTTTTTCCAGGCTATCCCTACCGACCCTCCCCATCTTGTACCTTTCAATCTCATCAGGGAATCACTAGTTACGTAGCTTTATCAATCACGTTACAATCCAACTAGACGGGCCTAACTAATTGAGTATAGATCCGACCATTTCTCATGGATGAGATTTATAAGTTTGAATATATCTCATATTGATAAATATTTTTTAATCTAATTATACCAAAAACTTTTATTTATTGTCATGAAACTACCAGCAGCATGGTTCTTTAATTACCAGACATCAGTCAAAGAAGCTTGGCAACTACGGCGGCAATTTGCCCCCTATTATTTTTCTTTTTCGTTTTTCTTCTGTTGCTTTAGTGCTCTATGATCACCAGTTCTTTGGTTTCCCAGAACTATGGTGACAATTTGCCCCCTATTATTTTATCTTTGGAGATCAGACCAGCACTGGTACACTTAAACTTACTGTTGCATTAATGTTACCAGTACTTCGCTAACATACAGTCACGTTCTGCATTAATTTGATGAGTAATAAACCCATTCCCTGAAAACTTTATGAAATTGAGAAAAGAAGAGTCATGGGCAACAGCTTGAGAGTTCCCCTGGACAGTGAGTTATAAAGGGTGAACAGTACTAGCTAGTTAGGTATAGGGGCCGAGGGGGATAATAACTCGTCTCCTGAAACCAATGGGTTATAGAGTTTAGAGCCACAATTATGAGATCTCTGATGTGTGAGGTACATCGTACAAGCACGAGACCTTGTTCCATGCACCATCCATAACAGTCTGCATGAAAAACTTCAGCTTTTTTTTTTAAAACCTATCTCTACGTTCTTTAAGCTGCGCTGACAATATTCATCATTCTCAGAAACCAACATTACTTCTCCTTCAAGTAAACACAGTTGTCTCTCTCATGATTCAAGTAAACCCAACCAGCTAGCTCCGTTCTAGTTCATTTCTATCGACCCTTTGCCCACGAATATTGCAAGC